TTAATCCTGTTGGGATCACTCACAACTAGGGGTGGACCCACCCTTGGTCAAGGGGTGTGACACCCCTTCGTCGGAAAATTACATTGTATATAGAGGTCAAATTTTGGTTTTATATATATATATATAGATATAGATATAGATATATATAAGTATTGACACCTTTTAAAACAAGTTGAAGGTTTAGTCTACTAGTTTAGGGGTTGCAAAAATTCTATGAGGTTGTAGGTTCAAGCCCTACTCGCCTTGTTATAAATTTTTTTACTACAATCATTGACACCCCTTAATGAAAATTCTGGATCCGCCACTGCCCACAACAATGAGCCTGTTATAAGTGTGTTCAGGAAGTGGTGGGAAATAAAACCCAAAGAACAAAGTCCACCAATGGATCTTGCACATCACATCCATTTTCATATGGTACGAATTGTGGAAGCAAAGATGTGCATGTCGATATGGAACACAAAGAAAATTGCATAATACTACAATGGTGTTCCAAGGGATATGGTGTATTAGGAACATTGTTTCTAAACTTGTCCCCCCCCCCCCCTCTAATATTGTTACATTGTGGACTGATTTTAGTGATATTGCAGAAAGGATCAAAACCAATACAAAATTTGACTCAAGTCAAATGGAGTCGCAAAAGGGCCGCTTGCTTAATATTATTTATATAATAATAATAATAAGAAATCTATAAACAAAAATAAAAAAACGAAAATCTTTTTAAAGTCAGCACTGATGGAAGTTTTATATTGGATATAGGAAGCGCTGGAATTGGAGGAATAGCAACGGACTACGGAGAGATGGTGATGGCCTTTCAATTCTTGAGGCATGTACCAGCAACAACATGGCAGAAGCATTGGCAGCTGAATTTGGCGGGGAATGGTGTAGCCAGCAAGGCTTAACTAATTTCACTCTGGAGCTAGACTCCATGATCATTGTAAATATGGTGAACAACAAGAGCAGAAACAACTTCAAACTTAGGCAAATCATCGACAATATCATTGAGATAGTGGATCAATCGAATGCCCAAGTGACTCACTGTTTTAGAGAAAGCAATCAAGTTGTGGACTTTTTAGGGAAAAGGGCTGCTAGGCTGAACCAAACGATGATTCTAACATCTTTTAGGCAACTTCCCGAAATGGCTAAAGGTGCATACTTTTTGGACAAGTGTCAAATGCCTTGTATTAGAACAAAATTTGATAAGGCTAATTTTTTGTTAATTGATTCGTATGTATATGAATCTGCCAGAAGATTTATATCCTCCTATGTGAGATTATGATCTTCTTGCTCTTGAGATGACTAGCTCACCATGGTGTTGTAATGGAGGTAAGGCTTTAGCCTCCCCTCCTTTTTTTGTATCTCATAAATACAACACAACCCAGATATACTAGGTAATTTTAATTTTTAAAAAAAAGAAAAAGTCAGGCCATTTCCAGATGTTGCTGGATTGTAGTAAACGCGAAGACCATGAACACCTTTTGTTATTCTAAGAGAAAGAGAAGGGATATAGAAGAAATGAGAAGCTTGGTTGGGGTTTATAGTAATTACAGTATGTAAATCTTTGCTAAGTGTATAACTACACGATCAGAATCCTAATCAAATCAATCCTAATTACTGAAAATCATATAATATCTCAACACTCCTCCTCAAGCTGAAGTGTACATATCATAAGCTCCAAGCTTGTTAGAAATGTATTCAACGTCCTCAGAGGGATTTAGTGAAAACATCTTCTAATTGATCATTCAAGTTAACAAAGATGGTGGCTAAGCATCCAAACTCGATCTTTTGTCTAATGGAACGGCATGTCACCTCTATATGTTATGTCCTCTCATGAAAAATAGCATTTGTTAGAAATGTGAAGAGTAGCTTGATTGTCACATATTAGTTTCATTTGTTTGACATCTAAACATCTTAATTTGAAGTGCCCTTCCCCATTTTCCCTTCTAAAAAAATATCTTGAAGTTGTTTCAACCAGATAAGCTCACAAGTAGCAAGAGTCGTAGCTCAATATTCTACTTCAGCACTATATCTGGCAACAACATCTTGCTTCTTACTTTTCCAAGAGAGCAAGTTCCCTCCAATCATGAGACAATATCTAAAAGTGGAATGTCTATCTGATGGAGAACTTGGCTAGTCTGCATCAGAATACCCAACAATGTCAAAGTGACCCTTATCTTCATATAACAAACTTGTCCTGGAGCTCCTTTTATGTATTTGTTCCAATGCTTTTACACAGTGTTTGGAAACTGATGGACGATGGTTACTGCAAATAAAATATCTGGCCATATGATTGTGATATAATTCAACTTGCCAACCAATCTGCGATATTTGCTACAATCTTCCAATAGCTCCCCCTGTCCAGGAACAAGTTTGACATTTTGATCCATATCATCAACAAGTTTACAATCTGCCATGACCGTCTTCTCTAATGTATCCAAATCATACTTTCTTGGAACAATTGCAATGCCGGTGGTGGATTGTGCAACTTCAATCCCCAAGAAGTACTTTTAAGTTTCCCAAATCCTTCGTCTGAACAATGTCAGTCATCAGACATATGTTGCTTTAGTTCTGAATTCAGTCCTGATCATTACATGTTATGACGATGTCATCAACATAGACTACTAGATTATCATACATTTATCTATAAAATCATGACAATAAAAAACAGAAAGATCTGCTGCACTATGATTCATTCCAAATCGTAAAATCACCAAACTGAATCTACCAAACCATGCTCTTGTAGATTGTGTTAATCCATAAGGTGATTGCTTCAGATGACATACCATGTATGACTCCTCCTGATTAACAAATTCTGATGGTTGCTCCATATATACCTCCTCGAATAGCTCTCCATGCAAAAAGGAATTTCTGATATCCAATTGATGAAGTGTCCAATGATGTATTGCTGATAAGGAGATGAATTGTTAAAAAGACGTAATTTTGGTAACCGGAGAGAATGTTTCACCATAATCAAGGTCATAAATCTGTGGATATCTTTTGGCAACAAGCTGAGCCTTCAGTCAATCTTAACATAAAGAGCTACTTGACTGTATAGACCCAACGACATCCAACCATGGCTTTACCCTCATGTAACTAAACCAATGAACAAGTGTTATTAGCCTCCATAGCATTCATTTCTTCTATCATGGCCTCTATCCACCCTGGATGAATGCTTCGCTAACAGTCTTTAGGTATAGGAACAGAAGGCAAAGTGGATTCAAAGTGGGTGAAGAGGGAAGAATAAGTTTTAAAGTTTTTTGGAGCACGCGATGAACCTGAAGTCTATGCTTTCCACCATATTCAGATCTCCTGCTCACAAATGGAAGAAGTAGCATAGCTGTTACAACTAAAAGGTGGTAGAGTGATATGGGATTAAGGTTTGCGAGAAATATACCAGACAGAAGATGAGCTAGTTCCAAATTTTGATGACCCTACTATACATAAACATTGTAGCGGAACAGGAAGTTCTGGCTCTGGCCCAAAAGGAGGAAAGGAGCTTGTATTGTAGAGAGAAAAATTGAGTTTTCATGCTTATCAATTGGGTCTCTATAGCACCATAGAAGATATCCTTCTCTATTTGGCTGGTAGCGAGAGAGGTAATTCTCATCAAACAATTTGAGGAAGAAGGAGATAACTTATATCAACTGGTGCTTCATGTGCGAGAGATTGGGACAGAATATAGACCACATACTGTGAAATTGTTAAACTGTAAGTCAAGGATGGTTGAAGGTGCTTGATGTAGTTAGCATAGAGTGGGTGATGCCAGCCACAGTGAAGTACATGTTGAATAGCTAGATTTATAAAAGATGAACTAGAGCATGAGGTACAGCTCCTTTAGCGCCAATGTGGTTCATTTGAAGGGAGACAAATAGGAGAGCTTTTTCAGGTATGCAGAGCACTTCTGTATAGATGAGAGCAAGCATATTGTTCTTATTTAATTTTAGGAGCACGTACAAAGTTCAGATAACATAGATTATTTCGTGCTTTTGTAGAGTATCATATTTTTGGGTAAAATTCTCTACTTTTTGTCTGTCTTTTGTATACGAAAGGAAAAAAAAAGATTCTTCTCCAGTCCAGATAAAATCTTTACCTAATCTGAATAAAAGACAAAAAAATAGATTGTATCTGGTGACATAAAAGGATCAGTCAAATACTTCCTCCATGGACTAAGACCTGGTGACCAATGAGTTGTAACCATAACTGGTCATCAACTTCACTTAATAAAGATGGAGAACCAAGTTTATGTTCAAAGATAAAGAATGTATTTGCCACAATATCTGTCGGCTATTACCTGGGTTTGCAGATGACTGCCCTGGGAAAAGAGGCAAATGTTTTCATCAAAGTAGCTAAAAATATCCACTTTGGGGCACCAAGCTAACAGATAACTGGTGGTATAAATAACAGTGGTAACAATTTTATAATGATATAAAGCTCACTTTTCTATTTATTGGATTTGCAAAGAGAGAAGAAAATAGACAGATCAATGACTTGCGTGTATTATTATTGTAAATAGGAAGTGTGGATAAACGTCCAACAAAGTCCTGACTTATTCTTAAACTTTTCAAAATAGTGGCTTGAGGATTCTTACATATGCTAGCTTATTCCCATATCCAACAAAATACAGGCTTGAGCATCCATGAGTACAGCATTATGCATATTGTAGATAAATTTGAGTCCTGACCTGATTTGAAATAGCAAAAAGAGCCTTCAAGGACTCCTTCCTCGTGCGATCATCTCTGGCAAACTCTAACATGTTCAAAAGCTGTTGAGCTCCACCAATCTCAACTATTTTCATCCTTTTCTCGTCTAGGAAGCAAAAAAGCACAGGGATAAAAGATTCCCTAATAAGAATCTAATAAAATTTCATGATCTGTTCAAATAGCTGTTGAATATATTTCGACTAGAGACTTTGCACTTCGAGTAAAAACTGTAAACTATATAGTCGCTAGTTGGTTACAAGATATCATATGTTTTAGATACTTAAAGACTAGAAAAATGCTATTTAAGAAATACATCTGCCTCGTCATAGTACTAGGAAAAGGAACAACAATAAAATACAAGTTGATTAGGATACTAAAATCTAAGGTAATACAGTAGTCTCATCTTATATTGGGACAATGAAACAAATTTCCTAATTCATACAATTAACCAGTAGAGAGTTCCATTAGCTTTAAGTTTCAAAGGAAGGTTATACAGTCAATGAATCATGAAGGATGGGGAAAACATCTAGATGCAAGAGACTACTCCACTCCACAAAGTTGTCCAGGGTGTAGATTATTAATATCAAAGAGGATGCAGAGGAGTTTAACGATATCAGTTAAATTCAAATGAGCTCCTAACAACAAAAAAGGATGATCAACCTAGGTTCACTGAATTCATAACTCACAGAATTATTATTTTGGCTTTCAGATGCCAACTATAGTTTTTCTTTGCTGCTATATCTTTCCACCATCCTTAAAATATTAAATGATAGCTCCTTACTGCTCTTAAATCAAAGACATATCTACACCTATTACTACTAACATCAAATTCCTGATATTGTATACCTAATTGCCAACATATACTAGAACCCATTAAAGAATTACATACACATAACTTCTCAATTTCTAAGTACTGTGACCCAAGCTTACCATCTATAGCAAAACGAGCTAATCTGGACGCACCCATTCTCTTAAATAAGGGATCCTTGACTTGTAGAAGTGAGACAGACTGCTGCGTCAGATTGTCTCCTATTTAAATCATACATTAATATGCCAAAGACAAATGAGACAAGGCAGGAAATTGAATATGGTGTAATTGATTCATGTAACCATAGAAATGAGAATAGAAAATTTGATACCCAATAACAGTAGCAGTCCCAGGAAAAATTAAATTTAAGAGCCATCCTACTTTTCTTTGAGCTTCCTGTTCTATTGAGTGTTCATCTAGAAAATCACACAACATAAATCTCAAAGCAGTCCAATGGTATGAACCCGCATGAGGGAATAGCAAGTTTCCTCAAAAGATACAAATTGAAACCAAAATAGAAGAAAAAAAAATTTAATAACAGCTAGAGAAACATTGAAGAAGTATACAAGATTCCCAATTTCTACAACTGCGGCATAGTATTACAACCCATCAGAGATATGATATATTTGTTACCTCTCCCAAAGCTGGAAGTAGAAAAACGTCGGGGTTGTAAATTGATAGGCGTTCTCCTCCATTAACATCATTACAGAAGTATATCATGGTAGATGAAAAATGCGAAGTGCTGATAGTCGTAAGTTGAGGAATATGAAAAGTCAGGTGGGTTTTAGATTTAAAGGACCGTACTGGGCTGAGTCGCGCTGCTTTTGTACTCATTTTATTTTTCATTCGAATCGAAAAATTGATTTAAAAATAACAAACTAAATTAAAGTAGAAAAACTGAATTAGTTTGATTTGGTATAGGTGCAGTGCACACTTGTCTATTTTCTAAAATCGAAAGATCAAACGAAGTTGATAAATTCGAAGAACCGAATGTCCACTCCTAGACTTGAATGCTGAAATTGTTGCAGCAAATATCATACTTGCTGCAACAATTTCAACAAGTGAGATAAAGGAGAGATTAGTTATGACGGCAAGGAGATATTGATGGTAACAAAGAAGGTGATGGTTGTTGTAGTTGCAGCGGTGGATAAGAAGGATGTGGTTATGGTGATGGTGAAGAAGGAAGAAGAGGAGGAAGTGATGATGATGGAAGGTGGTGACAGGAGCAAAAGGGGAGGGGATGGCAATGGCCAGTGGGAGAAGGGTGTTTGGGGGAGGAGCGAGGGGGTAGGATAGAGAAAATAGGATTATTTTTTTTTTTGTATAAATAATAAAATTTGAGGCTTTTAAAATTAGTATTATTAGTATTAATCTGAATATTGTTACACCTACTCAATAATTAACATTTGTTACTTTTTCTTAATTTTGAAACTATCTTTTCATTCTTAATTTAAAAAAAAAAATTGAATTATTATATAACGAGTCGAAAGTTAGAATAGACACTTGGGAATTACGACTAATTACGAAGTTTCTAAATTAAAATGAACTTATCTTTTTCTGATATTATGTATTGTATTTTAAAATATATAAACATGAAAGATATCTCATTGAATTCACCAACTAAACTTTTTAAATAGTTTTGACATATTATAAAAAAAAAGTAATAAGAAAACGACTTGAAAAAAATTTATGCATGTTATATAAAGAAGCCTTCTTTCTTTTCATTTCATTTTCAATTTGTAGTGCTCTTTATATTTTGAAAGAATAATTCATTCATCTGACATGGGGAAATGCACATATAGCTAATTTTGGGATCCTTAGCTAAGCTACGGTTCGGGTTATAAATTTTTAAAACAATTCAGTCACTTAGAAAATAATTTTCGACAAATACAATTAAAGTTACAAAAATTTACAATGATAGTTATAGGTGAATTAGCGGATTTTAGGACTATCGTTTGTGCAAACAATTTGCAACCTACAAAACTTTACTTTAACAAGTCAAATCTTAATAATTATATATTGAGGCTAACTAAAACATATATTTTAAACTATAAATCTCGGATCATATTGCAACGTATAATTATATAAATAGGTGATTAAATTAAAAAGAAGAAATTAGATTAAAGAGCAAGAATCTTATTGTCATATCTCTACCACTGGCTTCAATTAAAAGATCTGCTCAAATACACTACTCCCTCTCCTTCATTTTATGTCTCTTTTATTTTCGTTCGATTTTGAAGTAGAAATTTAAAAATTAAAATTTTGAATATTTGATTGGTTGTATTGTTTTCGTTGTTATTGAATGGTAATATTCACAATTGTAAAAAAAAAAAAACTCTTTAGAATGAGGATTAAATGACTTTTCGAATGAAATTAGGAAAAATAAATTTTATAAGTGATATATCAAATATGTTGTCTCCTCCCCACCTCCGAATCTCCATTTCTATCTCATAATGTTTAGCTAGATTACACACAAATACTTTGGAAGAAACTTACTTATTTTTTAATAAAACATTTTCATTTGTAGCAAACACACTCTAATCTTATTATGCTTTGACGACAGACTTTGGATACGATTTTGAGTGTTTATCTTCAAATTTTATTTGAGTTTGACCATAAAATTTAATTAGATTTTGAAAAACTAATCTTCAAACATTTTCAAGTTTCCTTCCATTCACAAATCTTTAATTTTTTTACAAATATAATGCATGTCCAAATACAACTTTATACCTGTTATGCCATAGATATTGCTTTTTGGCAAAATTTATTTAGCCACAAAAATTATCTAGTTTTGAAAGAAAGAAAGGAAATGGCAAAAAAAAAAAACCCTAAAATTTCAATCTGCAAATAAATTGGTTTTTTTTTGGGCTAAAATAAAAATTTTAAGTTAAAATTTTAAAACTTATCCTAAACATTTTTTTATTTTATTTTTTTAAAAAGAAAAACAAAATAATTCTCTATTATGGACTCCAACTAATTATGTTTGCCCTTTCCCCTCATTAAATGCATTCCTAAAAATGCATGCTCAGTGAGTCACTATTATTGGATATACATTTTATTTGGAATATAAAGGTTTGTGAATGGAAAGAAACTTAAAAATATTTGTAGATAAAAATTTTAAAATATGATCAATTTCATGGTCAAATTCAAATAAATATTTGAAGATAAATATTCAAAATCTGTTATCAAACACTAGCTTAAGTTTGATAAGATTATTATATTTAAAAAATCACTTTTACTTGTCTACTATTATTTCAAAAGCACATTTTCACTTTTACTTGACACATTTAATATATCAAGAAAAAATAATTATTATTTCCTCCATATTTTACCCCTAACATTAATTACTTATTTTCAAATCATTTTTCAAGATTTAATATTAAACATCAATGAATATGAATAGTGTGGTAAAATGGTCATGTCAATCACAACATTCCTTAATGGATATGTCAACTCCAAATGTGATAAGTAAAAATGAACTGAGAAAATAGTTAGTTACTACAATTGTTACATTATTATTTTTTGTGTAAGAACAATTTCTTACTTATTGCCCAAGTTTACTTGTGATCCAAGTAATACCATAAATAATATTTAATGAAGAATATATTTCATCTGTACATTGGTTACTTGATGGACGTACTAGATTAAGTCTTAACCTCTATAAATTGGTCCTCCCTCCACCCATTAGGGTCACCACATATTCTCTACATTATATTCATCGCTAACAGCTGTGGTAACGTAATGCTAAGGTAAGGAAGTAGAAATTAATTTACGACTAACGCTTCCGCTTCTCTCTGTGATGATGTCTTCTGCATCAGGTATGTGCCCCTAACGATCTCTATGTAAAATTATCGTGTTCAAGATCCCGATGTGTATTAAAGTATTTAAATCTTACATGTGGTATGAGAGTCTGGATTGTCTGAACGGATAATCTTCGGATATCTTCTGCAACTAATTAAAATAAATAGAAAAAATTTGTTACGGGTATAGCCTATTGTTTCTTCTCAAACAAATTATGTATTCGTCGTAAGTGTAACGTTTGATTAAATTTATGTGTCATAAATTATGTAATCGCATCAAAAATTATGTAGCGTTGTATGTATGAATTATGTGAACTACACGTATGAACATAAAACTTTGTATATTTTGTGTCGGTACGGAAAAGAAGAGGAGCTTAATGAGAAAAATCATAGATATGCATAGACCAACTTTTGTAATTCTTTTTGTAATTGAATTTTTATAAATGAAAATAAATACATTATGAAAATTGAAAGTTGGTGGTTGATTGGATCCTCACGGCAGTGGACCAGTTTTCTTGATACTTTGACCAAAAGGAATACTAATATGTTCACTGCTATTGGCTAGTATTCAAATTTAGAGAATAGAGAAAGGGCATAAGTTTGGCTACAAGAAATTATGTTCAAACTTATTGTTGAATCCTTTTGTAGTAGCGTAATTTTGTGCTTGACTATTTAAGGTGTTTGGACTTCTTAAGTTAATCAAGAGTTGTTAGCAAAGTTTAATATGCACAAATTCTAAAAAACTTAAATTATTTTTCCATAATACAATAATTATTTTTCCTCTTAGATTGTGCAATAAATTAAAGTGATCGTGATATTAAGCAATAAATAATATGTGTGTACTTAGTGCAAAATAATTTGTTAGTCACCAAAGTAACTAGAGAAATTAACGTCTACACATAATATTTATGATCACTTGATGCATGTATTATGTTTCTATAGTTTGTTAGTCACTAAAGTGGCCAAACTAAAATGTATAAAATTATTCACATGCACAATTTTTTATGATATTATGTATGCATTTGTATTTATATAGTTTGTTAGTCATCAAAGTGGTTAAACTAGTATGGTTAAGAAAAATATGCATTCATAAAATTGTCATTTATCTATGAAAGTTAATGAAATGCCTATATTGAAAATAAATAGATAAATTGCCTTTCACTATACTTAGAACTTAAGAATTTACCCAAAGGTGAATCAATCATTCTATGAATAGTGAACATTATGAGGTAAACTAATATTTTCAATCAAACATATATTGTATATCCAAAGATGTCGTATATGTTTGGTTAAAAATATTTAATTACCTATTAAAGATAAAAATGACATTTAAATTATGATAGTGTGTCGTAGTATCTACTCAAAGATGAATTACAATATACTGTTATCGATTTACTGAATTCACATTATATTATGATTTGTAAGCATGTATATCTATTTTGCAGTTGTTCCTCTTCATTCACATGCTTCATCCATTGCTGTGTTCAATGGATTGAACTTCTCTTAATGGCATGAACAAGTCCAGTTCCACTTAGGTGTGCTGGATCTTGACTTGGCTCTATTGAATGACAAGCCTACTGCCCTTACTGATAAGAACAGTGAGGATGAGAAGTCTTTTCATAAATCATGAGAGCGCTCTAACAAATTGAGCCTTATGTTCATGTGAATGATTGTTGCTAACAACATTAAGAGTACTATTCCACAAACAGAAAGTGTCATGGAATACATGAAGTTTATGGAAGAACTTTTCGTTCTACTGATAAGTCTCTCGCTAGTACACTAATGGCTAAAATCATGACCATGAAGTTTGATGGGTCGCGTCGTATGCAAAATCATATCATCGAGATGATTAACATTGCAACAAGACTTCGGACCTTGGGGATGAAAGTAGACAACACCTTCTTGGTTCAATTTATACTAAACTCATTGCATCTTGAGTATGGACCATTTCAAATTAACTATAACACTATTAAGGATAAGTGGAGTGTTAGTGAATTGCTCAATATGCTTACGCAAGAAGAGTCAAGACTTAAGAAACAAAGAGGTCATTTCATTAACCTCATGGGTCAAGGAGCTGGTAAAGGACTCAAAGTGAAGGCCAACAAATTTAAGAAGAAGAAAGCACATGCTAAAGTTCCACAAGATGCTCATAAGGAACTCAAGGCTGATGTGTGTCGTTTCTGTAGAAAGGAAGGACATTATCACTAAATGAAAGTTCTGCTTATTTGTGGCATGGGCGTATGGGTCATGTATCCAAAGAAGGATTAAAAAGATTAGTTAAAAATGAGATTTGGTCGAATCTGAATTTTGTTGATCTTGATATATGTTTGGATTGCATTAAAGGAAAGTAAACCAAACATATTAAGAAAGGTGCCACAAAGAGCACTCAGTTTCTTGAAATTATACACACTGATATATGCGGACCCTTTGATGTTCCATCTTTTGGTGGATAAAAATATTTTATCATCTTTATTTATAATTTTTCACCTTATGGAT